CGGTAAAGTGAGGGAGAAAGTGGAACAGGTAAATCCGTAAATATACGAGGAATGACGAAAATGACCAAAGTACTCATTCACACATGCAAATGATAATACTTGATCTCAATGGGCTGAAATCACACACACAAAAAGAAAACAATATTTAGCCCCGTCAAAGTATTCTCCATTTCTTTTTCTAAATATACTAGGCCAATACTCACCGCACATACACACAGATTTTCCTTTTTCATATATGCATACATGCCACTTTTCTTTCTTATAAATTAGATTATAATCCGCATTGATACGCGGGTAAACACATTAAATTTTTTTAATATCAACATTTAAATTTTAATTAATTATCCGTTAAATTACAAAAATATTTTGAAATATTTAAAACCAGCACGTGTAAGAGCCTTTGGCGAGAAGGTCGATGATACCTATATGGATTTGAAGGAGGAACATATGAATTGTGGTGTATGGTGAACAGCTTATAATAAAAAAACCATTCTCGAGCCACCGGATCGAGATCGAAACAAAGATCGTGAATTTGCAGATCTTGCTGTCATACACAATTTTTCAGTTCCAACAAGTAGTAGCTCAGAACATGATCAAGCGGTTATTGAAACCCAAGGTGCCTATTCTGAAGTTAGAGCATGATCAAAGAGTAACGTCTAGTTCCCAGACGGTCTTTATTCGAGGTAATTCTGTTGAACAAGACGAAGCAAAGGTTGTATTAGCGAAAGAAAAAGATCAAGATTTCCACTGTCTCAAAGGTGCGTACGCGCTACTTGTCTCTCATCATCATGATCATCAAGATCGAAGGTGTACGACGGGATTCACTTTTGTAAGTTATAAAAACCATGGAGACGTGTTGAGGGACAAGTTTATCAACGTCAAGTGGAAGTGGAAAGATAATGACATTTTTGAATAAGAAAGTGTTTCATGTTAGCTGCATATTGAACCTAATAGTGGAGATAGTGGTACGTTACGAGTGGTTTGTGTGTGTCTGATGCATATGAAGCAAGACGATTTTTGGTTTTCTGTGGCCAGTGGCATGAGCAACTTCTTGTTTAAGAAATCATGGCAACACAACAGAGATGTGATGCACAATAAAAGGAGTAGCGAATGCAGATTTTTCTTTAGATCGACGTCTAATATTGGTTTGTGAATGGATGATACTGCAATCGCGATTGTTCAATGTTGGGTGACGTCAAGAGTTTCAAAATACGGGTTTGAGAAATTTGTTGCTATTTAGTTTTCAATCTACTTCAAACATAATTTTCACTATGCAAATGTGGCGTTACCTCTTTCCAAATCCTTGTTGGTCCAGAGTCATCGACATATGAGATTTTTTTTATCACGTGTGCAGTAAGGAAATTTTTGGATCTTTGCAAAACTACAAACTGTATGCACTTAAAACAACAGTTCACAATAATGCTTCGTCAAGTGAGCCTTAGTACAAAGGTTATACAAAATTTTCTGATCTCGACGTGTGTTATATATGAAGGCATTAGTGGAATGTGTTGTTCACGTTATCTTTTGTGATGTCTTAGCGGATGATATGATTTTGCACCAACACCAAATATTTGATTGTTTATGACGTACGATATTGTTTACGGACAACAAAGAATGCGAGTTTTGCGTCGTTGGGAGATTGGTCTTTCGTGGTGTAGTGCATCTAGTTGAGATGCACTTTAGAGTTACTACAAGGGGAATAAGAGGTGTGTGTTTCCCACAATTTGGTTTTCACCACACATCCATAAGATATTTTGTTTGGAGTGACAATGCTCGCGACTCAAGGAATCAGTATATATGTGTTTGTTGTGACGACTCTATTTTATAGCCACCATCAGTTACTTGTTTGTCTCTTTTTGACTGAGTCCTGGCTAAGGATATTATTGTTTGTCAATACATACGATTCGGGAAGATTACGGATTGGCTTAATTCGTGGGTCGGACACGGTCCATTTATTCATTGGCTTAGACGAAGTATTGTGATAGGTTTATTCGACCACCGCGTAAATATTAGACATACCGGAAGCGTTAATTTCATGCCACTGTCAAAGACTTACTCTTCTCCAACGTAAAATCGTTCTCCTTGACGAACTAGAGTGCAATCTCGGCATCGATTGGATGCTCTTCTCATTATTGGGATTTTCAACTACAAAACAAAGGTTTTTGTGTGCTGCTTTTGATGGACGTTTTATGTTTTACTGTGGGATCTTCATTAATTTTCTATTTGTTGACAAAGGGAAGACAAGTATATTTGGCCACCATGGAGTTTTGAGGTTTTCATGGTTCTTCAAACGTTTCCAATTGAATTGTTCAGTGGGGAGTTGAAGATGCTGCTTGTGAGTTTGTTCATTGTAGAAATATTGTTGGCGAATCAATTGGTATGAGGGTCATGATGGACTCTTTTTACATGTTACTTATTTGTGGTTCTTTTTTGGCGACACCGTTTACGTCTCGATATTTGATCATGGATCTCTTTGGTTGTACGACTCTTTTGGTGACTGAACAAGAGTACGGAATAGCCATGGCTTGGAAATTACTCCGGCGGTATTCAGTTTCACATCATGTCACTTCAAGAGATACTGTTACCAAGAAGAAAGTCCGTTAATGATCTCTATCACATGAACTATTGAGAGAGCCTAAGTTATTATCACAATCCATGGAGTCAAAATTTGGTGCTATCACGTGGGAGAATGGAGTTGTGGTACATCCAACATCTGGTCAAGAGTACAAAATGAAGACACGCGCTCGTACATATAATGTTAATTTTGCATCATGCAACCTGGATAGGGAGGTGTTATCAACGGATATGATGTCTCTATCGAAAATAAAAAATGCATTATACGTGACTTATGTGGAGGTCTTTAGCCAACGTCACTGTTCTAACTCGCAAATACGCACATATTACTTATCTTTCGACCCATTTCTGCAT